GCTTAAGCGACACCTTAGAACTATTAACTAGTTACCATTACCATTACCAATACCCGTGAAACGGACCCATCAGATCTATCGCCCCGCACTCTACTCTATACAAATCTCACGCTATCTCAGACTATCTTTCTCATCCCATCTTCAATTTCACTTAGGCTAAGTTCAACTTGTAGTTGCATATGAGAAAAAAATATTTCGCTTAAGCGAATGAGAACAAAAAAATAGGAGGAAGATGATATATAAATCAAGTTTAGCATAAGCATTGTTTGTCAATAAGTATGTGACGTAATAAAGACATATTTTTATAAAAAAGAATTAATGTGCTTTATTTATATATGTAGATACTATGGATAAGCATAAAGTTATAGTTCTTTAGGTATCTACAATATAAATTACTTATCTGGGTAAGCGAGCCCATTAGAAGTTCTTAGAAAGGAAATGCCACTGTTTTATGATTTAGGTATTTCAATCAGTGTAAAGAAAGTCTCTCAAATTGTGTCTAAGGTAATAAGGATGCGCTTCTCGATTATATATAATATAAATAAGAATTGTAACGTAAAGTGTTCAAATTAAAGATTATAAATAACTGTAGATCTTAGACCTATAGATCAGATCAAATCTGAGCTTGATAACAGGTTTAGTTCCTAGACGCAGTCCTAACAAGAATTCAACGCCATAGATTTACTTTCTAAAATTTTTAATACACTATTTTTAGATACAATCGTTTGTGTCCACATAGTCACCGAAGTTCGTCCAGGTGTAGTTCCAGAAGCGTGGGTAGCCAAGTGGGTCATCGGGTTTATTTGAGGGAGGCACGGCAGTTGAGTTTATGAGCTGCAGCTCCTTCAGCATGAGTTCCAGCACCTTAGGAAAGCTAAGGGAAAGAGTTGGGAGTTAGTGAATATCTGAAATGCACTAAGCACTTACACATCCGCTTGATTACGCTGCTCGCAGGGATCTTCCCGTATATTGAAGAGACAGGGCGCCTTTAGTGGATTGCAGGAGATGTTCGGCGCATCCTTCAACTTGGCATCCTTGCAGATGACATTGGCTGCTTCGCGGGCTCGCATCATATCCGCAGTTTTGGGCAACACCTTCAGCTGCTGCAGGGCTTGGCCTGTGGGACTCTTGGCGACCAGGTACCAGTCGTAGTCGCGGGGATTGCGCGTGCCCGCCGGCCCATACCAGCCATCCCATGAGCCATTGTAGTTGGTGCCCTTCACCAGCTTCCAGTCGCCCACGCTCAACGCTGCGCTGCCCCAGACGTCGTCTATGTTATGCAACACGCTCTTGCGCGGCGACACCTCGTTCTTGAGCAGCGCTTGCCACACACTCATCCCATCCAGCTGAGCGTTGTTCAGCTGGGCAAGTGCCGCCTCACCGCCAGCCGCTTCCAGCAGCGTGGGCAGCCAATCCACAATGTGCATGGTCTGATCTGCGACGCGGGGACGATTGCTCAGCTGTGCGGACCACACCAGACCAGCACCTCGCACTCCGCCCTCCCACAGCGTATTCTTCACACCCCTCAGTGGATAGTTGGAGGCGAAATTTGAGTTGAAGCCTTCCGCAGCACCGCCATTGTCAGTGGAGAAGATTATTATGGAGTTCTCGAGCATGCGCGACTTGCGCAGCTGTTCCACGATTCGCCCCACTGAGTCGTCCATGGCGGTGACCAATGCTAGAGCGAAGAAAGATTGAAAGTTAGCACTACTATATAGTTTTGTTATCACAGTACTAAAGTTAGCAATATCTCACTTTAGTTAATTTTGTAGTTATATTTCTTAATTGTTCAATATCATAATACATTATTTTCCATATATTAAAAGCACAGTCAAATTCCTTGTATGCAGAGTTTAAATAAGATTTATGTATGTATGTATATATCTAAAGGTCTTTCATATTGGAATTTTTAATATATTGTGATCCAGTCAATTGTTAATCTTTTATAATTCCAAATATTTTGATAAAATATATATAAATATTTTGATAAATAAAACTTGATTAAAATATATATATATATATATATATGTATATATATATGTATATATATATGCTCAGTTATTGAGTTGTTTGCTCATTAACGATCGCAGCTGAATCGCATAATAGAGTGCATCATTCATAAACAGCTGGAGAGCGCATTTACAATAACTCGTTCATATCAGATAGAATGACAGAGTAAATAATACGTGATTCTCTCATTCAGTCAATCCGTCTCTCTCTCTTTCAATAGAACTACCATCCCCACTCACCCGCATACTTGCGCCTCTTGTAGTCCTGAATCGTACCCAATCGACGTACTATATCATCCTTGGCAGGCAACGGATTATAGGGATTCCCCGAATGCACTGCCGCATGGGCCACATAGAGAAAGAGCGGACCTTTAGTCGAATTATGCTTGGCTATCACATTGAGCGAATGCTGCGTGATCACGTCTGTGGTATATTGGCCATGTAGGTCGTAGGCCAGCTCGGTGCCATTGCGCATGTCCAGGCCCCACTGGCCGTGCTCCACGGCCGAGTGATCGCTGTAGTCCTGGTGGCCCGACCAGTAGCCCACGTGGCTGCTAAAGCCACGATAAAGCGGCGTATAGACGCGTTTCCAGTGGCCCAAATGCCACTTGCCAGCTATGTGTGAGGTGTAGCTGTAAGTGGTAAAGTATTCAATTGACTAATCCGAAACGAGACAACTTTTAGCTTACCCCAAATCGTTCAGATATTGCGGCAATATTTTCAAATTCAAAGGCAGGCCACGCGGCTCGGCGGCATAGAGCACAGTGTGTTGCATGCCTGAACGAGAGAAGTGGGCTAAAATGAAATCTGTTTCAGCCGCCGCAGACAAAAAGGTCACCTGTGTGTATGGGATATTTGGCAGTCATGAGCGCCGAGCGTGAAGGCGTGCAAATGGGGTTGACGTAGTAGCGATTCAGTATGAGACCCGAATAGGCCAGCGCATCGATATTGGGCGTGGGAATTTGCGCCGAGCCACGGAAGCCCACATCGTTGAAGCCCTGCAAAAACCAGAGCGGCAGATCAAACAGCAGCTTAACTAACATCTGCTACTGCAGCTGCTTCAGCTACTCACTTACCAGATCATCGGCCAATATGAAGATGATGTGGGGCTGCGCAATGGCATACCCGATCAGCAGAAGGCAGAGATGGAGCCGAAGCTGGAACTGCATTGCAAGTGATTGCCTCATTTGCATTGTACAGACGCTGCATAAAAGAGTTTATGTAAAAGTTGTGATCAGATAAGTGGGAGGCGGGAAAAGTGCAGCTGCTTGAACAGTACTTATGCAGAGATTCGTTTGCAGCTTAGGAAATAAATGAAATCATTAACAACATATTTAATATAGTTTATAGTTATATATGAATATATAGAAAATGTTGTCATTCTTAAGCAGAATAAACTTTTGAAAAGCCTCTGGAAATTCTAATAGATCTTTGGTCTAACAATGAATGAAATTTATACATATTAAAATATTTTTATTATATTTATATAAAATAAAAAAAGAAACACCAACAGCGAGATTTCAGAAATTGTACATAGTTATATACGTATGTATATATAATATGAATGCATACAGAACTTTAAAAAGTTTATAAAAAACTACTTAAATACATTTTAAGTTATGTTGATCTCATGCAACAACATAGTAGTATTTCATTTATTTTTAGGGTATTCCCCAGTCGTGCATAGTCAACCAGAACAGCTGTGCTTATTGTGACTGCGACATTCAGTGGTATAGGGGCAGGTATTTGTGTATGTATGTGCTTCCAAATATTAGAGCTGATTAGTGGGACTAATTGCAAAATTCGAGATTCGGATGCAGGCACAAAGTATAACGGATATATGTATATACATATGTATGTATATGTCAGGTCATACTATGCTATATGTATGCCAATTTAAGCATCATCTTATGGCTAAGTGCAATTTATTGATACCAACTGACATTGACTTTCCATTACAGTAGAACGTGCATAAATTTAAAAAAAAAAAATTGCCAATTCATATTTTTTGAATGGGGCCATAAAAACGGAGACTGGAAATGGAACTGGAACTGCAACTGAATCAACAGAATGCCAAGCGGAAAGAGTTGCATAATAGATTTGTTTATACTATGAAATGTCATTCGCGACGAATTTCTTTTTTATGCAGAATATTAACTGAGCCCAGGCAACAGCTAATTAGCATCTGAATTGAATGAATTGAGCTTGTCCGCTTTTTCAACCCATTAATGGGTCAAATAACTGACCAACAAATAAACAATCCAAATATGAATCCGACCAGACATACAGTGAAAGCTCTGCTGACGGACATCACCCTATACCCAGCAATTTTAGCCTGTGCTAAGAATTATTATGATAATTATTTAAATAATAAATGTATAAAAAATATTCATACTCACCCCTATATTTTGTTCTGCTTTTACTCAGTCACCTTTGTGTGAACACAATGCCCAGCCTTTGTTTAAGCACTTTCCATAATTTTGTCTTTTGTAAACGAAATATAATGAGGCGCTAATGGGCAAGCGTGCAAACAATTGATTTAATTTATGAGCACTGCACGCACTTAAAACTCTTGTTTTTACTTTTTTTTTTTTTGCGCCAAAATCACTAGTCTTAATAATTGACGCAGCTCGAATTAAACCGCTTCTTAGCACGCGTCAATTGCGACTGACCAAAGCTTTGGCCGCTCTTTAAACTCGGACCGTTTAACCGTGTGCGCCGGCGTCGCTGACTTTAGCATTCTCTTTCTCCCTCACACTGCAAAGCGACCAGTAGCGAAAGTCGCGTGCTCAATGAAATGCTCAGTTGACAGCGACGTCGACAGCACCGCGACCGAGTGCTGCAAGTTCGATATGTAAACAGAGAGCCAGCCACACATAGCCCAAGAGAAAAGGCGCAATTGCGGCGTTGCCAGACTAGTTTAATAACGTTGTTAATTTTGCTCTGCTACTTTTTAAAAATTGTATGTAAACATATGAATTTTTATTTGTTACAATATATAGTAGAATTTTAGGCAAACGTGTGAACCGAAGAATTTTGAATAGCTACCATACAATGTTGCATCTTTGCACTAAAACTGAAAATTGAACAATGTAATATTTTCTTTTCACTTAAGTCTCTATCAAACCTACCCGAAAACAATAATATTAATAAAAATAAGCCAGCCAGACATATACCAAACATCTAACTAACGGTAGTCCACTCAAGTACACAACCGAAATAACTGTATATATATATATGCACGTACGAATATATATCCTAATATATATGTTAAACAGGAAATTTTGATTGAGAGCCGTCAGGTCCAAACTGATATATTCTTCAGTTAACAGCCAGAAAGGAAGGCTCTAGAGTATTTCAAGATCGACATGTCGAATTTCTGGAAAATGCGTCTGCACAAACGAAAATAAATACTTTAGCAACTATGAGTAAATGCATATAAATATATGTTCAACTCACGCGCAGATTCATTTCAATGCGATCAATTTCGCCACCCATTAGGTCAACAATACTCTCGCCCTGATCCAGCAAGAACCCCTCCAAATCATCCACATTACGAAATCCGCGCACAATCTAAATATTAGAGCCGATATATCATTTAAGACCAAACTGTACTTGAACTTTTACTTACCGCCAGCAGCTTATTTAGATCCTGCTTATCCAAATATGAGCGTGTTAGCTCTCGTCCATCGAAATCCAGCTCAGCCTGTAAATAAGCGAATGCCATTTGAAGTCTAATTGGTATACTATCCATGCTCTAAGCCCACCTTATAACGCACTCGTCCATTGCCGATGTCTATTCCCTTAACATCGTATATAGCGCGTATCATCACATCAGCTTCAAGAGCCGCATTGATCTTTTCCAAGCGATCCATCGAAATGGATACACCAACCAACGCATTGGCATTCGTATAAATAATGAAGGAAGCAACCGCAGCCAGAAGACCTCCGATCACCAAAGAGCCAATCGCATCGAAGATTGGTGAGCCAGTTAAACTGCTCAGGCCCATGCAGCCGGCGGCGACTACTACGCCAGTGACTGCAGCTGCATCCTCACACAGTACCACATTCACACAAGGATCCTTTCCGGTAAGAACTGCAATGGAAAATTATTAGATAGGCATGACATGGAACAGTTAACGTTGAGAGTGCTTACCATACTCCTTAAAGCTTAGCTTATTCTCTTTGGCGGCGCGCTTCAATTCATTGATGGCCACCACGAGGGTCGCGCCCTCACTGACGAGGGAGCCAGCCAGAATACAATACACCCAAAACAGGTCAGTGATCGCTTCCGGATTGAGCAGTCCCTCGATGCCATGGTAAATGGATAACCCGCTGCCCACACAAAATATGCCAACGCCAGAGATGAGGGAAGAGACGTAACGCATGTTCATATAGCCGTACGGATGAACCGTATCGGGCAACTGTGACGACTTATAGATGCCGAAGGCCAATATAAGTTGATTGACCAGATCTGCAAGTGAGTGAATAACCTCTGCAAACATGCTGTGCGAGCCGCAGTATAACCAACCGCCTGTCTTAAACAGTAGATTAGCTGCATTGCTAATGTAATGGATAGGTAAGCCATCATTTAAGAAGAGAGGAAGTACGTCTAATGCACTCACATGGCAATGGCTGTAGCGACTACCTGTCCGGACTTCTCCGAATTTATATCCGTATCCAGCATGCTCGTGGTTCGTGAGCCCACTTCTCGTCGATAGTCGCGTAGGCGACGTTTCACAGTGAATACATCTGAGAGCGTATAAGCATTAGCAACAATATTAACAATTTAACTGAGAGATTCACTTACTTTGTTGATACTGCTTGCGCTCTACGTCACGTCTTAGTCGCTCTCGCACAATACCCTCCTTAGAGCCCCACACTTCAAGCGCCTTGGCCTCCACATCGCGGCGCCAATAGACCGTCATCGGTGGCTCCTGTTCGTAGGGCGATCTGCGCTTTATCTTGGGTAGTTTCTCCAAATCTTTGAGGGTTAGCATGAAGTCCGACAGGGCACGCGCAGGCGTTACAAAATTACGCTCTAGCGACATCCGGTAATCGAAGCGCGGTCGTTTCACTGCAGGCGTTGCTGGTGCTGGAGCATCTCCTCCGTCCTTTCGCTGAGGCGGAGTAGGAGCTAATTCAGGCGGACTTGTTGCTGATTTGACTTCAATGGCTGGCATAACATGTAACGCAGGCTTAGCCACCGGTGGGAGATCTGCCTTTTCGAACACAATCTCATTGATCTTGGAGTCCTCAATGGTGGTGGTTATTGAGAGGATGCCCTTCGAGGTTTTTATTTCAAAGTTCTTTGTCTGCACGTTGGGCAATTTGTTCACTGCTTCATCTATTTTTTGGCGGACATTTGCATCGACAGGAGTCTTTTCATTTATACCGCTCCCCTTGTCACTGGAGCTGGAGCGCATCACCAGCAAGGAGGACGCTTTACAGGTTTTGCCTCCACCCAAACGACTGCGAGCCTGCAAACGAAGCGTCACATGTTCACTGCGTTGCAGGCCATGACACCAGGAGAAGTATTGCCGCCTCCACAGAAGAGCGGCTCGTGTGTAAAGAGGTTGTTGGCGCTGCAGCAGCCACACACTGCGCATCAACATATTGAAGCTGCAGGTCAAGTGCTCTGAAAGAAACAATAGCTTGATGAATCAGTGAAATTATTCAGCAACCCATTCTAATTTAGCACTTACACAGCGCGCACCTCACTGATTTCAGTCTGTGTTGACGTCGCTGTTGTTGTTGTGTTTTTGTTTTTGTATTTCTTGCCGTTTCACTTTTTAGGCGGACTACGTCATGCGAAGGCCCAGAGTGTATATATTTTTGTGACTGCTGTGCTTTCGCTTATGGATGCTTGGAATGGTATAGTACCTGTCAAATTGTGCATCTCTTGAATTTCAAAGCCATGCAGCGCTTTTGTGTTTTATTTAAAAATTTTTTATTAGGAAAATTTAATTTAGAAGTGCCCGGCTGTAAATTTAGCTTAAGAAAAAAGTTTAATCGATTATCGATAACTGCTAATGTGTTTCGGAAGTTCATGTTTGCCAACACTGACGCAACAGCTGTTTTATATACCCTAATATTGCTGCACACTGTTTCTTTGAAGCATGTTTTAACATACCTATGTATAAATTTTTATTTCAGTTAATATGTACCATATGAAATAACTACTTTATTTAATTCATTCATTATTAAAATTGTAAACATTAAATTATTAGTTGGTGATTAATTTTTGAAAAGGGATATACTTGTATTGTATAAATATATATATACATTCATAGATGCTAACAGTCGAAAGGGTATTTACACTCCGCATATATGGGTTTATTCTTTTATTTATGTTTTTTCTTCTTCTTCATCAGCATTCTTCAGTACCGCTGCCGGTTTTATAACCATTTGCAATTTTCCTGCTACTGGCAATTTTTTGTTTTTTAATATTAAATAATGTCGCTGTTATTGCAACATGCTGCAAAGCTTATTACGCGTAGAACGCTGCCTCTAAAAACTGCAAGCAGATGTTGTTACTCCGTTGACGCGGAATTAGGAGATGGCACCGAAGTTTTAGTGGAACGTCTGCAAGGCAAACAGCAGGGCATAACCGTGCTGGGTCTGAACAGACCAGCTGCGAAAAACGCCTTCAGTCGCGGGATGGTCAACACTTTCACTGATATCCTGCAGGATATTAAGCGGGATAACGGTTCACGTGTTGTAGTGTTGCGCAGTCTCACACCTGGCATATTTTGTGCCGGTGCCGATTTGAAAGAGCGTAAAGGTATGGGATGCCGTCTTTATAAGGGGATGTAGCTCAGTGGTAGAGCGTTCGCTTTGCATGTGAAAGGCCCCGGGTTCAATCCCCGGCATCTCCAATTGTCCTTATTTTTTATAATTATTTTTTATTTTTTTTTATTTTCATAATTATGTTGTTAATTTACTTTATTCATTTCAGGCATGACTGCTGAAGAGACTAAAGAATTTGTGACTCAGTTACGTAGCCTGCTCATTAGCATAGAGCAGCTACCCATGCCTGTGATTGCAGCCCTGGATGGCGCCGCCTTAGGAGGCGGCTTAGAAATGGCTCTGGCCTGCGATATACGCACAGCTGCCTCGAATGCCAAGATGGGTTTGGTAGAGACACGTCTGGCGATAATACCCGGCGCTGGCGGCACCCAGCGTTTACCTCGTATACTCTCACCCGCACTGGCGAAGGAGCTGATATTCACGGCTCGCGTGCTGGACGGCGCCGAAGCCAAACAACTGGGTTTGGTCAATCATGTGGTGCAGCAAAACGAAACCAAAGATGCAGCCTATCAACAGGCGGTGAAACTGGCTGAAGAAATACTGCCCAATGGCCCGGTGGGCGTCCGCATGGCCAAGCTAGCCATAGACAAGGGCATGCAAGTGGATCTCAGCACGGGCTACTCCATCGAGGAGGTGTGTTATGCACAGGTCATTCCCACCAAGGATCGTCTGGAGGGTCTGGCGGCATTCGCCGAGAAGCGCAAGCCTGTCTACAAGGGCGAATAGACGAACAATAGAAAGAAATTGATTTTCATTTTCGGCCTTAAGCGGTGCATTTATTAGTTTTGTTACATCTTTTTATTGTTTGAATTTGAATAATAAGCAATTCAATAGTATATATAGATTGTATTTCTATAGTTTCCTCTGCTCTTTTAAAGAACTTATAAGGGGTATCCATCAAGAAGAACATCAACTCTGTTTGTAATACTTTGAAATTAGATAAAGACTTAAATTAGACATTTGGAATTAGTTTTAAATGTTTCAAACCATTGTCTATGTGCCTGTTCTATATAAATCAGTTTCTACCATATACACATACATTTTTGTACGTATATAATTGATTCCGCTGTTATATTGCCACAGTATCTAATCCTCTAACATTTCCAAAACAATTTTTACTGTTTTTGTTTGGTTTGTGCTATATTGTGAGCCCAGATGACGCAGCTTCAAACAGTTGCTGCAGCTAGTCGTGTTGAATAGCTAATTGCTGTAATTAAGTCTCTCATTAAATCAAATCGATCCACCTCCGCCACCTATGTATGCGGAAATTGTAATTTCCATAGAAATGGAAATTCTCTGAAGCATTGTTTAGAAAGCAGCTGCATTCCTGGACCTCAGCTATTGGATATACATATATTATGTAGATGCCTATATGATGTATTGAAACATTAACATTTTAGTTGTCATTTTATTACTCGTTTCGAGCATGTTATGCCGACAAAGAGCTTTTGTTTTCGGCTTTATTGAAATTTGTATAAGCAGAGCTCTCAATGAAAGGCGTTAACTGCTTATTAAAACAAACAGATACATATAGCGGGTGCTTGGCTGTCTCAAGGAGGCAGACTTCTTTTGACTGATTGCAGCTGCTTGTCTCCTACAACGGCTGACCCACTTGCCACGCCCTTAAGGCTGGCAGGCAGACACTGCCTCAGTGTAGACATCAAACGCCCATTTAATTAACATGCGCCACCTTGCCTGACATCATGCAAGGTCAGTAGCCGCATGCTTAACTGACTGAGAGCTGTGCGGGTGCGCGGCGTCTGGGTTTTTAAGCATTTCAGACTTGACGCGGACTGCTGACTCAGAGCCAGACTCAGAGTCAGAGTCGGACTCGGTTAGTATCGGTCATTTAGCAAATCGGATGCGACAATCTAGAGACAACTAATGCCAGGCGCACTTTGCATACTAATCAATTAATTAATTAATTGCTTAGATGATGAACTCGGCCTGGCTGCAATACGATCTCGAAAATACAAACAAAACAAAATATAGATATCGTACAACTCGAAGGCTATTCGATCCGGAACCAATTGCGGAAGCATATTCAATTCAACATTATTATTTTATTATTTTTATCATTTTTTTTTTTTATTTTTGTTTTAATCCAAAAACGAAACATCATTACGTACTACGGAATTCGCGCTAAAACGAGTTTCATGCATTTTAAATGATCTTTGTACATTATTTGCCTCAACAAAACATGGAGATATTTGCATTTGCACGTGCTATGTTGGGTTCACAATTTGCATTGCGTACACCCTGTAAGAAATAAAGAAAAAATCGCTCACAAATGATAATATGTTTTCCAGGTATTTTTTGTACTTTTAAAGTGAGACATGTTGAGTGTTAACAATTATTGAGATTGCGAACACGTCAAACGTCGAACAACAGCAAACGTAACACGACTTAAGCGGACAATGTAATGGATACCCTGCAATATCGTAAAATTCTGTCAAAATACAAGTTCCTACCGCAATACAGTCGATCTCTTGACAATAACTGCTTTAAAGCGAACGAAAGTTATTCTAACAAGCTAGCTCTAATATATATTTTTGAAGAACTCTGCAATTATGTCTACTCTAAAATTATCTTAAGAGATATCCCTTTGAAAATCACATTTTAAAGATTTCCACCATAATCTTTTTAGAAAAATTTTCTTAATTTATCTATAACATTTTCAATTCCCAAGACCCCGTTGCAGATGCCATTCGCAAATACCTCTAGGGTGGTCCAATGCTTTGGTTCAATTTAAGTACAGAGTATCCGCTGATAAGGCACTCTCAACAGGTTATTTGTTTTGCTTTCCATTTATTTGTGCATTCCCTGACATCAATTATAATCGAGAGTATATATCATCATTATTTATAATCATAATAATCATTGTATAACATCCATACCAGATTTTTACCAATGAATGATGCACTTGACCTTCGGCTTATGTTGCACTGATAAAGCATAGGTCTGCTCTGCAGCACCACTCTTATTATTTATCTACACCTTTATCTTAACATAATCTCAACCCCGAACATTGCGTATACGTCACGTATTGCGTATATCCAGTCTAGCCAGCTTATCTATATTGCTGTTTGTGGCACAAATTAAAGATACACCAGGGCCAACGAATTAAGAGCCAATCAATTGTGACAATTACGTCAATTAAGTTTAGCTCGTTATTGTTTTGGTTTTTTTAAATCACAAATTACTTTTAGCCAATTACATTTGCCGTTAAAATATATGTTCAAGTTTTAGTTTTTTCATCCATAAATCAATCGGGTATCTTGGTGCCATCATTAAGTCACTCAGACTGAAGTCGAAAGAAACATTTTAAAATGCGTCACGCGTGAAAATTGTGATTCAAAAATTTTCCACTGGCCCACTGAATGGAACAAGCGACAGCAATTTTATGGCCAGACAACAAAATCGAGTGCAAGAGCAGCAAAAGATACAAAAGCATAAGCAAACGACAGCAAACAAGCAACAACAACGTCCACTTGAAACAAGTTAATCACTAAACTCCATGATCTGACTTAAAGAGACGCCTCAAGGCGACAACAACAACAACAACAACAGCCAACCAACAACTGCAACAGCCTCTAAGTAATTGCCTTATTGCAGAAGTACTTTTAGCTATCGCCTGGGCTGTGCGAGGCGCTCTTTAAGGCGCCTCTCAAATTCTTAGCTTGACAATGTTCATTGCACTCCGCCTCGACCAAGTCTTCGGCAAGCCTCGCTCCGCACCTCACTCCCCTCGCCAAACACCAAGCCACATTAATTGCTGCTGGCAGACACTGTGTCTCTTGCAATATACAGGGTGTTTCGAGCCTCCGTTAAGTTCAGTATTTGAGTTCGTTTAAAGAGCGTCTGAAAATACCGTTGGAAAAATTATTCGACTCTGATTAACATGTCGAGCTAATCCATTGTAACAATGTAATAATATATAATATCCCGATTTTCCATACCATTTAACTTTGAATAGGAATTAACTTGGAAATTAACTAATTAGGAAATTTATTCTATAGGCTGCAATTACACATTTGCCAACTGAGAAATACCAATCGGAGATAAATGATATCTTTATTTGTTGAGCCATGAATCAGAATCTGAAACATAGATAGCGTTTTGTACACGTTTTGTACACATAGAGTTAAGCATTAAGTGCATAATGCATAATTTGATGATAATATGTTATATATACATGTATAATGATTATGATGTACAATATGCAATCCGAGATAACGTAGATAAAGCAAGAAAATTTCATGACTCATACTAATTAGATATGTATGTATTATCTGTGAGGTCATCTGATACAAATATGAACGCATTATATATGTTACACTGACCTAGATGTGCGCATATGTTTTCATGAATAAATAAAAGTCATAAATAACTACAAGTTTTAAACTTCAAGAACTGTTTAAAATGTCTGGTTTCTTAACTAGTTTTTCATTTTAATTTGTGGCAGGAGTTTGTCGTCAGGTTTTGAACAAATGTAGGCATTTTCAGCTGCAACTGATGCTTCGGGTGCACTTCTTGCTTTCATTTGCCACCCTGTGCGAGCGGGCAAACGCTGCGTATGAGCGATGCAATGCAATGCCCAACTTGTCTTGCTATACAATGTCCAAAACGAATTCGTATAGAAAGCATACACATACTCATACACACGCACACAAACACACACACACACACACACACACACGCATTGAGTGAGAGAGAGGACGGCGTCACAGTTTCGTTTATTGTCCGCTGCGCTAATTGCTGGCTGCCCCCTCTCACCCATAAATAGTTCATCCGACAGGTGTAGCTGTGTGCGTTGCGTTGCGTTGCGTTGCGTTGCGTTGTGTGTACTTTATAGCCGGCAGCAGCAGCAACAAATTCAAGCACAATCATTGGCTTAATATCAGTCACTAACTGATCGCCAGGCCGTTAACAACAAAGCGCACGCAGTCGCAGCTCGGAAGTTACAAAAACGCGCGCGACTTTTAAAACAAATTTAGTGACTACTTAAAACAAATCCGTTATTTTTATGCATACTATATAGCCTTTTTTAACAATTGGTATTGCTTAAAACAAAACAAATAAATTTAATTAGACTCAATTCCCAGTCTGTGTAAGCCACACGCGACTTTCACGCGAGTTTCACGCGACTTTCACACGCCCTTCACGCGTCTTTCGGCCAGGCGATTTGTGTGGGCGTTGATTCCCGCCAAGCTAAGCAAATAAAGGAATTGAAAGAGCTTAATAATTCGTGTCAATGTTAGACTCAGACAAATTTCCAAAAACAGTAAACAAATAGCAGATTGTCAAAAATACATTTTGTTGAATATATAATTCAATTAACAACAATTGGGAGAAGGTAATTATTAAATTAGTGTAAAGATTGAAATGCAAAAAAAAAAAAAAAAAAAAAAAAAAAAAAAAAAAAAAAAAAAAAAAA